TGCCGTCCACGGTGTGTGGTGCTGCTGTCGGGGGTCGGGGGTATGGGCGGCACCCATACAGCAGGACCTCAAGCAAAGGCAGATGTCACGCATGACTGTGCCCGTTTCGTACAGCCAGGCATCCCTGCAGTGCTCTCCACATGGGTCCCCTCACAGGAGGCCCCAGATCAACAAGGCAGGGACTAGGCAGAGACAGAAACCAGCTCCAGATTCCTTGGGTCTTCTGGCTCTTAGCCGAGCCCTATCTGCTTTACAAGTGACACATGAAGGGGGCCAGCAGGTGGCATGGAGGTTAAGGGCAATGGATTCACACATGCTGATTGGGGTTCGAGTCCCAGAGCTGGCAGCCTGCTTTCTTGCTTTTCTTATTCTCTCTCTCTAGTCCAATTAAAATAATAATTATTATAATCACAAATGGAATTAAATAAATAATTCTTTTAAAAAAACAAACAAAAAACAAGTGACATATTAAGAGAAGAGACTACGGGGCCACATGGTAGCAGTTGTGCAAAATGATATCTGAAGACCAGCCCTCGTGGAAAGGTCTGGAGCCCTCCCCAAGGACACTGGGTACCCCGTGTCCACACTCCAGGTGTGGGAATGGATTGTGCCATGAAGACATGCTGGGGGTGCTATCTCTGTCTCTCTTGCTCATGGAAAAAATAAACTTAAAAAAAAAAAAAAGAAAAAACCCAAGCCCTCTGACTCTCAGAATCTACAACAACAGTGAGAACACACGAGTGGTAGGGACCCAGGGCCATGTGGCAGCCAGGTGTCAACCCCGTTCTCCTGCGAGAGGCTGCCCAGAGGCTTCCTGAAAGCGCTGAGCCTGGGTGACCAGCAGACCCTTGATGCCACCAGGTCAGGGCAGCACCCTCAAGAGGAGCCTGCAGCCTCCAGCTCACCTACACAGAAGCATCTGGAGAGGCGGGGTGTGCAGAAACATGGGGGCGGAGGGCTTTCCAAGCACCCTCCATAGGATACAGCCCAAGGTTCAAGGCCTGCCCCCAATTCAAAGCTGCTCCAGCATCATTTGTTTTAAAACGTTGGGCTTCTGTGCTAAGCTTGGAACCAAGAATTCCACTGTGTAAATAGAAAGTACTCTGGGCTGCTGAAACACAGGCTCAGACAAACACAGGCTTTAACGGTGGACCCCTACCTTGTGGGCAATACATGGTGGCTGCCTCGCCTGGGACATGGACTGAAGTTCTCTCTTTTCTAATATGTTTGCCGCAGGGCGTGCGTGCTCACCAGAGAGAGGAAAAGTAAGAAATCGCCCCCAGGGGGGATGGCCACACCGCAACCCCCTCTCCTCCATTCTCCTCTTGAGATTTTGGGCGCACATGCAGACATGCTTGCTGGATTTTTAAAGTCACCGATTCCAGAACTTGAACCGTGGACTCAGCCATATAGGATCCGGTGCCTTTACCACACCACCATCTGCTGGCCCCCGGGACTGAAGTTTTAGAAAGAGTAAGTTCAGCCGTTTTCCCCCTTTCTCCTGCCCTCTCTTCAACCGTCTCTCCTGGGAAAGTGCAGCAAGAACACCTCACCAGCCGTGGGCCCTAGACCTGTGAGCCCCAGCGTCTAGGACTCCGAGAAAGGCATTTCTATCCATTATAAATTACTCACTCTCAGGTATTCTGGTGCAGCAGCACAAAACAGACTAAGACAATCAATGACTAACATACAAAAGACCTCGTTGCCTGGTAAGTGTTAGCTCCTATAACAAAACCCCACCACTCCACCCTGCGGGGTGTCCTCCTACAGAACACTGGGGCCACGTGGTCGTCCTAAGACTGTCCTGGTGGAGCCAAGGCAGGTACACCGGTATGCTGGACACCAGGAGACACCTGCTCCTGCCAGCCGTGAGGAATCTGGGATCTCGAGTGCTGCGCCCGGCAGGGAGGTGAGCCTTCCCCTGGGCCTGGCCGGACCTGCAAGGTGGTGCTCACTACATGGCGGGCAGCCAGCGTGGATCCACCAGGAAGTCAGCTGACCTGGCTGCACGTGACCCGCTGTATTCACTATTCTCCTTTGTTCCTCCTGCCTCAAACTCTTCCTGAACCCTTAACTGGAGTCTTTTTCAGCTGGCTATGGGAAACCGAGAGACAGGCAGGTCACATATCCACACAGAACCGGTGAGACCGGGCTAAGCGATACCTTCACCAGCCCTCCCAGCCTCAGCCCTGCAAGAGCAGTAGCAATGGTAGCAGCAGCTGTAAGAATCCCTGGGGGGAGGGGGGATCTCAGGATGGGGGGTCTGGCAATACCTCCCACAGGCAGCCCTCCCCCTCCCCACCTGTGGAATCTGTGCACGATTCCTGTCAGAGGCCGCAGCGTGGAGCCCCACTACCTTCACAGGCAAGGGTGAGCGTTTTCTTCACTGGTCCTTCCCCGACAGCCCAGTTGGTTGTAAGCTTAGAGAGCTCTACCTTCCTCTTTTCAATACTGAAATCTTCCACTCAACAACCCACTGCAAGATGAGCTTTCTATACAGCTGTTAAAAAGCATCATTACTGGGAACCAGCAATTAGCATAATGGCTATGTCGCTGGACTCCCACGTAGTCGACCGTGGTTCACGTCCTGGACCCGGTGGCTTAAAACTCATGCCGGGCGCGTATGTGTGCGTGCCCAAGATCCTGAGAGAAGAATGGAGAAGAAGGGATTGCAGCGTGGCCA